CTGTCACAGTGTCCTTCAGCAAACGGAGAGGCACAGGGTACTTCCCAGGGAAGATGGCTGAGGTGGCCACTGTCAGAGAAGGCCTCCCGGAGGACACGATGGAGAGGAGGTGGCTGGAGTGGGTGAGGAGAGTGAGGAAGGCCAGCCCAAGGCGGTTTTACATCGTTCTATGGGTCACCTGAGAACGAAGCCTAAGGGTGTGGGTGAAGAGAGGGAGTTGGCAGGGCCTCAGGGGACTCTCCTCCAGGCCTGCCTACCATAGTGTTACTTGCTCAGTTACCTGGCCCACAATGGATTTCACAGTGACAGCCTGGGAGTTGGTGTGGAAGCCAGGTGAGCTGCTTGCTTGTCAGCCTTCCCTTTCATCAGGAGCCCGGCCCTCAAGGCCTCCCTTCCCCCACTCCTGCAGCTGGAAACAGGCTGGGAGCTAGGCCAGCTCCCTACCATCTCTACAAGCTAATGTCTCTAATCTCTTCAATCTCTTGATCCCCAACCCCTGGGCACTCAGTAGTGAACCAGATGGCTTGGAAGGAGATGAGGGCCTCTGGGCTTCCATCCTTCCTGGGGTCTTTTACTGACCTTAGACACTCTTAAGAGTAACCAGCTAAACCTGGAGTGGGACAGACAACACAGTTATTTTCCTTACCCTAAATCAGGAGGAAAATATGAGGTCATGTCTATGGGACCCACAATTCCGTGTGTAAGCCTTGGTCTAGCATCCCAACAGCTGGTCACCTAGGTTCCATTTGGTTACTTCCCCAGATGGCAGGCTCACCACCACAATAGCTATGGACAAGTCAGAACTCTGAGAACTGAACTGAGAAGGGATTACCTGGGCTGGATCACATGACAGTCCTCACCATCCCAAACCAGGCCTTAGACCAGGACCTTACCTACCATCAAGGAACCCTGGAGAGAGGGCTCAGGAACTCCAATTCCAGTCTTGATTCTAGAACTTACTTCCTGAGTAGCCTGAGCTCCATTGTCCTTCTGTACAGGCTCTCTAATATGACTGTCACTAGCCTATCAAGCACTTGACAGGTGGCCAGTGCACACATTGATTCATTGATTAATTTTAATTAAGATTTAGAGCCTGATAAGTATACAATATTTCACATTGACCATGCATGGCAGTAAGTTGGATATTCCCGGTTAAAGATTTATTTATATATTATGTACATAGTATTCTGCCTGCATGACAGAAAAGGACACCAAATCTCATTATCCATGGTGGTGAGCCACCATGTGGTTACTGGGAATTGGACTCAGGACCTCTGAAAGAGTATACTCAGTGTTCTTAATTTCTGAGCCATCTCTGCAGGCATAAAGTGTTATTAAATAGATTCCATATTTCCTTTTACTTTTATTTTCATTTGAGACAGGGCCTCATTTTGTGGTCCGGGCTGACTTGGCCTTTTTGAACTTTTTAAAATTGATGAAGGGCTAAGGGGCACAGGCCTATAATTCTGTCACATGGGAGGTTGAGGAAGGAGATTGCAGAGTTAATGCCAGCCTCCAAAAAAAAAAAAAAAAAAAAAAAAAAAAAAAAAGAAGATAACAATTAGCAAACCTAAATGATGAATTGTTCTGGCATCGGGATTCCTCAGGGTGCCACTGACTTACAAGGCTGTTGAGCAGTGGAATGAGGCAGAAACTCAAGTCTCTGGAGAACTGAAAGCTCCTGGCAAACTGCAGCCTCTGTGGCTGCCAGGCAGAAAGTCTGGGGCAGTGTCTTCCACCACACAAGACATGCTTGGTCTGGACACAGGAGAGAACCCGGAAGCAGAATGCCGCTAAGGTCCCGTCTCCCTCCACAGACTGCCTCTCCCTTTATTCAGCCACACATGCACAAGTGTCTTTGAGGCTTAACACTCTCCCAAGAGCCAATATGGCCCAGCTTGCCAGTTCTCAGAAAAACAAACAAATAAAATCATTGTAGCAGTGAGACTCTCAAGCAGAGGTTCTCAACCTGTGGGTCATGACCCCTTTGGGTCAAACAAGCTTTTCACGGGGGCGTATATCAGATATCCTTCATACCAGATATTTACATTGTGATTCATGACAGTAGCAAAATTTTAGTTAGGAAGGAGCAACCAACATAATTTTATGGTTGGGGGCCATCGCAACATGAGGAACTTATTAAAGGGTTGCAGCGTTAGGGAAGTTGAGAACCACTGGCCTAGAGCCTCAGTTCTCAAGGAACTTACCAGCAGGAGGAAGCCCCAAATACCAAACGGCAAACACTTCCACTCCATTCCTTGTGCCCACCAGTTTCAGGAGGGGCGCCGCGCTCACGCATGGCCTCTGCTCTCCCGGCACTTTCCTCCCAGTCTTGTTGACCGCTGCCGTGGGCAGCAGTCACCTTGGGCACTGCCAGCACCAGCCTGGGGAGCTGCCTGCTCTCTTGGCTATTGTGGCACCTGCCTCACTCTGCTCACTAGATTGGCGGGATGGTGGGTGAGGTGGGGTGCATGAGTTCCGAGCAGGTCTGCATGGCCCTGTGCAGAACTCTCATCACACCCTTTCAGACGACGGTGCCCGCTGGGGTTGGACCACAGTGCCAGCAAGTTGCGACTGTGTTTGCATTTCTTCCCTGCCTCCCACATCTAGGGGTCCAAGTTGGTACCACCTCACCGGGCCCCTGCCTCGGGAACCTTTGTCCTTAGGAGATCTGGTTCTCGTCGTCGTCGTGGCCCTGGCCACAGTCCTGACTGCAAGTGAGAGAGGGATCTGTTTCCCAAGATGCTCTGGGGCTCCCTGAAGCGGAATCTTGTTTCCACTCCACATTTCATTAGGACAGTCTTTCCGGTGACAGGTCTGTCCCTTATGGCAGCTGCCCAGCACAGTGGTGAATAGGCATCCTTTTGTCTGAGGTCCAAAATGTTGCTTCTGACCGTTTCGAAGGCTTCAGGGGGTTCATAGTTTGTCCTAGAACCTCCAATCCTGGGAATCTTTTGTTTCTCTCTCACCCTAGGCAGATACTGTTAGACCCAGTACCTGCGAAGCAATGGTTGCTCCCTCTGCTCTGCACCCCTTGGGGCCCCCCAGCCCCCCTTGACTCACCATTCAAGGCCACCTACAATCTGTTTTTTCTGCCTGTCACCACACCTCACACAGACCCTGAGCTCTGACCTCACTGAGCAGCACGGTGCCTTCTGCCACCCACTCCTGTTGGCCCCATCTCCAAATCCTCCCCACCTTGGCGGAAGTAACTCCAATGCTGCCGCCTCCAGGAAACCCTTCCCTACTATTTTAGCTAGAGCTCTCTCCCCTAAGAGAAATTCCCCTTCCTTGTCACCTTCCTCACTGTTCAGATTCCCCCAGCTTCTGCAGTAGTTACTTGTGTCCCCTTGTGTCCTGGTGTTCTCGTCTGCCACTTTCCTTGCTTCTTGACAGAGTAACTACTTCCTGAGGTCAGAGACAGAATCCAGACACTAAATCAGACAAGCCTAGAGCTGGCACGAGGGCTGGTCTAGCAGGACACCAGTGTGGGTGAATTGGGCATGCCCTTTCTCAGGGGCTGGCTTCCCTATGGCCTGCAGCAGGTAGGCTGCTCCACAGCTCTGCCGAGGGAGGGCAGAGGTAATCCTCCTTGGATAATGGTCCCAGCAGCCTCATCTACTCTGCTGGAAATCCCATTACTGGCCTTTGCGATTTATGTCTGAGACCAGCCCTAAGCCCATCACTAGCATATGGCATCCTGGCGGAGGAGGAGAAAAGAGATTGTGTGTCCCATCCTTCCTGCCTCCCTCCTTCCCTTCTTCCCTCCTTCCCTCCCTCCCTCCCTCCTTCATTCCTCCCTCCCTCCTTCCCTCCCTCCATTCTTCCCTCCCTCCCTCCCTCCCTTCTCATCCTTCCTGCTGCTCTGGCTCTGGGCCTGCCCTGGGCTGGCTCACACACCCTGTTTGGACCCCAGCCTACCCCATCAGGGGCACCTTATAATATAACAACTCAAAGAAATAGGGTGGGGACAGAAAGCATGGAGACCAGGAGAGGAGACTACACATCATGAGAGGCCTTCAGGAGGAGGGACTTTGCCCTGGCCCTAATGGTTCATGCCCAGGGCCAAGCAGGGGTCTCAGGGGTAAGGTCTGTTCTACGGGGTGGTCACTGGCTGCTGCTGGGTATAGGGCTGACATTGAGGAGAGCATGAGGAATGGGAGGATTATCTGCTCTTGTTTACATGATTAAATCCAGACAAATACTTCCTTTATCTGAAAGAATGAAAGGGCTTTGGAGGAAAATCCTTTTGGCAGAAAAACAAAGCGCAGGCATTTCCTTAATTAATCTCTCAACTCCCTCTCCCAGAACAGACACCTTCAACACTGGCCAGGCAAGGGGGTGGTCTGGCTCAGGTACACTCTGGAAGATACGCCTCTGTGTTCTTGTGTGGAGAGGGGGGTCTTGGATCCCCAGATGGAACACTTGCACGTCAAAGGTTGCATGTCCAGCTGGCAGGCTAGGTCACTGTCCCTACTCATTGGTTCATTCAGTAAGCCTGTAGGGGTCACTTGCACCCTGTCAGCCTGTGCTCTGGTTATGGGGGACCCATAGAGAAGTCAGACATGTCCCTTTCATGTGCCCTCAATCTTGTGGCTGCATCAGGTAAGTAAACACACCATGGCAACCAGGGTCCTGAGAGAAGAGGCTGTGGGTGCCCCTAGCACTGGCAGTGTGGAAAGGGCTTCACCGTAGAAGTAACATGGCCTGGTCCTGTCTCCTGAGGAGTTGGACAAGTGAGGGGGGCTTCTGAGAGGAACCACAAAGAGGGAATATGTAAGGATCCAGAAGTGTGATGGACTGGACAGGAGAGAGAGAGAGAGAGAGAGAGAGAGAGAGAGAGAGAGAGAGAGAGAGAACGCAGAGCAAGCCTCAGGAGTGAATGACCCAGAGGGAGACCTCCGGAGCACATGAGGGTCAGGGCTTGGTGGAGAGGAGCCACAGTGAGCACACCAGAGTTCCTGGCGCCTGTCACAAACCTGACCCATCTTGCCTTCCAGTTTGATGTCTGGCCTTGCCTCCCTGGATGCCAAGACCTCCAGCCGCTTGGGCATCCTCACTGTGGCATACTACCTGTGGACTACCTTTCTGGCCGTGGTCGTGGGCATCATCATGGTCTCCATCATCCACCCGGGTGGTGCGGCACAGAAGGAGACGACCGAACAGAGTGGGAAGCCGGTCATGAGCTCAGCCGATGCCCTGCTGGACCTTGTCCGGTAACTCGTTGTCCATATGCTCTTGGAATCCCCGGGCCTGGCACGGGTGCCCTGTGTGGCCTCCAAAGGGTACGCAGAGCATGGGACTCAGCTCAGCTCTAGATTGTATGTGGCAACATGGATCAGGATGAACCTTGTGATCCTCTAGTATGCTGACATCAGTGGTGGATATGTCTCGGTCCCCAGCCCCTGGGCTGCCTTCTGGGTTCTGCTCTGCCATCTCCATGGGGTTGGGGCAGGTGAGGGAACTCCAATCTGGGAAGGGCTGTGAGCTGACTGATCCCACAGCTGTTGTGGCCACCCAGCCTGCAAGGCAGGAGGCCAGTAATTATGTGTCCCTCCTTTTCCCTATTGGTCCCCTTGCCCTAAATGAGAAAACAAGACTCACAGAAGCAGTGTGGCTTTCCCAGCTCATTTAGCGGGGAGGTGAGGCACCAGGGTTCCATCCAGGCTGCCTGGCACCCAGGAATGACTCAGTCACTCCGGCTCCATGGACCTGAGCCTGCTCCATAGCTAGCAATTACCCTCCTGGCCCTCACCAGGGCCAGCTCTGGGCCCAGGCCTGGATCAGGAGGTTTAGCCTCCACCCTGCCCTGCTCTAGAGGAGTCACTCTGTCAGGGCATGCTGGCCCACTTCTAAAGGCCACAAGAAGCAGGTTGGATTTATTTCTGCAGTGGTGGTGATCCAGCCCAGGGTCTTCTGCCTGCTGGCGAAATGCTCTGTTGCTGAGCACAGCCCCAGCCTAGAATATAACTTTCAAATACAGGAGTGGCATGGTTCAGTGTAGAAGGCTCCTTCTGGCCACTGGAGAGGCTATGGACCGAGGTCGAGCAGGCCAAGAGAGGGAGGCACAGGGGGATGGCCATTGGGTGGGACTGGGAGACTGGCATGATTAGCAGGAACACCATCAGGAGTCGGGAGCATGAGAGTAAGGGTGGGTGGGGAGGTTGCTACTGGCTGTGGCCCAAGCATCTGGGTGGATAACACGTGGTGATCAAGCCAGAGGAAGGTTCTGGAGCATGCAAATCTCTTGGTGGATTCAAGCTGAAGATGGAGATATTGAAATTAAGGAAAAGGCAGGTGGCCCCGAGGATGGAGGGCTTAGCCCAGGATATATGAATGTGCCAGAGCTGGACAGCCTCTGCACATACATCATGCTGGAAATGGCCTGTGTCTTAGGATTTTATTGCTGTGAAAAAACACCATGACTATGGCAATTGTTATAACGGAAAACAGTTAACTGGGGCTGACTTACAGTTCAGAGTTTCAATCCATTATGGTCATGATGGGAAGTATGGTGCTGGTGAGGTAGCTGGAGGGGCAGGCAGCAGGAAGAGAGAGTGATATTGGGCCTGGCTTAAGCTTCTGAAACCTCAGAGCCCACCCCCAGTGGCACACTTTCCCTAATTAAGCCGCATCTATTCCAACAAGGCTGCACATCCTAGTCCTTTCAAATGGAGCCACTCTCTATGGGGGCAATTTTCGTTTAAACTACCACAGCCTGGTGGGGTCAACTGGCTGACTTTATCTGTGGACTCCTCCAAGGCCCTCTTCATCTTCTAATTAGTTTAAGACATAAGTCCAGGCCTATCTAATACCAAAAACCCAACCTTGTCAATTTGACACAAACCCCGCCCTTTCCTTGTGGATCTGATTCTGGCCTGGGAAACTGCAAATCTTACTTGTTTGCCCCACCAACTCCACTCTCATAGGAGGGTACACAGGGGCCCGCTTTCCAGGGCACGTGTGTACTGTTATAGGTATTCCCTGGCTGTAATTCTTTCAGTAGTTTCATAGGTTCTAGCCCTCCTAGCATTGGGTGTTCCTGCTTAAATAATCCGTTTCATTTGAACACTTATAATGCTCCCTTCAGGCAAGCTCTCTGGTCAACTCCTAAGCTCGTGTCTCAAAGATGATTCAAGATCACTACAGACCATGTCCCTGACTGACCTGCCAAGTCATTAATTCATTTCCCAGGGCTCCAAGTCAGGGCCCTGACGTCGGCTCCCAGTGCAGCCTCAGGAAGTCCGAGCAGAGAGCTAATCAGAGCTGGCTGTTGCTTTTTCCACCTTATTAAAACACCACAGAGATTAAGTAATAACTTGGCTCCATTTGGAGCTCCCTGTTAGCATCCCAAAGGCTGGATGAGCCTCTCAGGAACTATTCTTGAAAAGGAGCAATGGCCACCTTGGACCTTGGTGGGGATTGCAGAAGGAGATATGTTTGGAACCATCTCAGTGAGAACTTACAAAAAGCAAATATGGAGGGAAGCCTTGGCAGGGAGCCCAGGCTAGCTGCTGGGGGTTGCAGATATGACTCTTCATACCTCCAGCCACATTCTGTCTGTGCTTTAGGTAGCTGCTACCAGGTCACAGGCCTCATGGGATAAAGGAGGAGTTTTCCTGTAGGAGTTCAGACCAACAGAAAGTGAGAATGTCCCCAGATAAAAATGGAAAGTATGGTTTTTGCTGTTGTTAGTTTTTTTGTTTTGTTTTGGTTTTTCTAGACAGGGTTTCTCTGTGTAGCCCTGGCTGTCCTGGAGCTCTGTCTGTAGACCATACTGGCCTCAAACTCAAAGACTTGCCTGTTTCTTCCTCCCAACTGCTGGAATTAAAGGTGTGTGCCACTACCTCCACTGGGATCAAAAGCACAGATCTTAGTTAAATCTGCCAGTCAAGTTTGTCTGTGACTAAGATAAGTCTGTATCTCAGCTGGGAACTGCATTGACTGTTCATTAAGAGAGACCCAAGGCCACAGAGGCTTCGGTGAGGAAAAGGTTTTTCTCAGAAGCAAAATTACAGTTATGAAATGGCAATGAAAATAATTTTATGGTAGCAACATGAAGAACTGTATTAAGGGTTACATTAGGAAGGTTGAGAACCGATGTCTTAAATTAGAGATGGAGTTTAGTGACTTCCTCTCCTCTCCTCTCTGGGGCTGTCCAGTTAAGGACACAAGAGGATGGGAATCAGGGTTTGATGGCCAGGCCCTGTGGGTCTCTTACCCTAACAGGCCTGCAAAAGCAAGAAAGGAAAAGGAGACTGAACGCTGGTAGCAACTCGCTCGCTCTACCATGTCCACCTGGTAAAGTGACCTCACACTAAAGGAAGTCTTGAAGGAATGTACATGCTTGGCTTTTTAGCTCTTAGCCTAGAGTCTGTTCTGAAGGCTGACCACCTCCTAAGTCCCCTGAGCCTCCTGGAGCTCCTGACCAAGATTTTCACACTTTTGACAATCAGTGCAATCTCATGGCTGACATTAGCTTCCAACTCAGTGGGATCCCAGTTCCTGACCTGCGCTTCTCCCTTCCCTGGTGACAATACTGAGACCCCTGGGGAAAGGGTGATTGATGGCGGGTCACAGAATGCTCTCGGCCAGCCTCTGCCTGGGTAGCTCCTCCACCCTCCGCCTCTGTGTCCATGAGCCTGACTCTTAGCAGGAGTACAAACAGTGCAGGCAGCCGCTGCTTCTGGCCACAGTCGCTGGGGAGGAGGCTTAGGAATTGGAGCACACTCATGTCCACGTGTGCAGCCTCACTCATGTGTGAACTGAATCTAGAAAGAGAATTGCCAGTTAGTGAGCAAGGGCGAGCCAGGCAGACAGCAGCGGGGGTGTGTTATCACAGCCCCATTCCCGGAAACCGAACAAGCAGGAACAAGAGGCCCTTAGCATCTCCAGTCTGTAACCTTCCCAGAAGGGGTCTAAAGGGTGGGAGTGTCTTGCTAGAGCCCTTAGAGGAAGGTCACTGCAGGGGCCACATTAAGGCACCCATCTCCCTCACCTCCCCTGCATGCATACTGTCATTTTACAAAACATTAAAAAAATTTTTTTGGGCAATTTGCATATTTTCTTTTGTGAGGAGAATCCCTGGGTGTATCTTTCTGTCTTTCTCTATTGAAGTGTTACTGTTTCGTGACCTGTTGCTTAAGCAGCAAATATTTTCAGAGTGCCTACTGTGTGTCGGGCTCTCTTCCAGGGACAAAGCAGGGAAAAAGAACAAACGGCCCTGCCCTCTAGGGATTTGAGATCCCGTGAGAGGGGACAGCTGGTGAAGATGGAAGAAAGCAGGAATGTTGAAAATGTTTTCAGATTCTGGGGATTACTGTAGTCATTGAGATGCCCCAGCTTGTCTGCCCTTCGTTTTGTAATTGCATTGTAACCTTAGAAAGCATCTTGTTTTTTTCCGCAGATCGACATTTTGGTATGGTTTTAGGTTTTCAGAAGGCAGGAAAGAAAAGAAATCCTACCTACCCTCCCCAGTGACCCAGATGTTAGCATCTTCTGAAACCGCAGGTCCTTTCAAAGTAAGAAATGGAGCCGGGTCACCTCGAAATAAACTATAGATCTGGTCTATCTGTCTTTTAGGGCAGGGGCCCAGGCAGCCCAGACTGAATTTGAACTCATTATGTAGCTGAGGATGATGTGAACTCGTGATCTTCCTGCTTCTGGGGATGCAGGCTGGTGCCACCATTCCAGTTTGTTGCAGAACTCCCCTTGGGTATCACTAATTTTCCCATTAGTTCCCTTTTCTGTTCTGGTATCCCAGCCAGGATGGCATAGTGAACTGAGCAATTTCTTCTTTTCAGTGAGTAAAATCAGTGAGTTGTCCACTTCGTTCTTAATGAGTCCTTCCATGTTTAGGCAGTGGTGAAAGATCAGCCTATTGTCCTCTAGGTTTTTACTGTTTCGTTTGAAAAAATCATGTCTTGAAGTAGAGTGGAATTTGTTTTGGTGGAAGATTAAATAACAGAGCGAGCAACTTTTCAGAATGGCTGGTCAGCTATTCAGTTCTAATGGTGATACCTTTAATTCCTCACTGGCTTGTGAAACAGCTTCCCCAAATATGAAGTACTTGTTGGGACCAGCACAGTAGCACACACCTGTAATCTGAGCACTTGGGAGGATGGCAGGTTTGGGGGTGGCCTGTGGTACATAGCCTGTCCATAGTTAGGTAGATGGTGAGTAGATAGATGATAGATAGATAATAAAATAGATAAATGATAGGTAATTAGATAGATGATTAGACAGATGGATGCATAGATAGCTACATAGATACATACATAGATAGATACATAGATAGTAGATAGGTAGATACATAGACAGATAGATATAGATACACAGATACATAGATACATAGATAGATGATAGATACATACATACATAGATACAAAGATGGATAGATAGAGAGACATATAGATAAATACATACATAAATAACAGATTGATGATAGATAGATACATAGATAGATAGGTAGATAGATGGATAGATAGATAGATAGATAGATAGATAGATAGATAGATAGATAGATAGGCAAGCTAGCTCATTAGGTACTTGCCACACAAGTGGAAGGAAATAACTGAATCCTAAAAGTTGTTCTCTGACCTTCACACATGCCATAGCGAGCGCGCACGCACGCACACACACACACACACACACACACAACCATCAACAACAGTGCCGAAGTGATAATAGAAATGAAATGCTTAGCCACTAGAAGTTCTGCCCTGTGCTCCGGTTTCTATGGTGTGGGCTGCCATATTGTGTGCGTAGGGCATTGCACTGACAACAACTATGCTTGTCTAGTATATATTTATATCTGGCAAGACAAAGGCCCGTCTACCTTCAGCCTTAAAATAAATAAGACACAGCTCTCCATTTGCATGAGTCGATGTCGATGGAGTCAACCAACTGCTGGTCAGAAACTTTTAGGGAACATGCTGCGTGTGCACTAAATGTGCTGGTTTTCTTGTCACAATTCCATCCCTGCAGCACAGCAGCTCCTTCCATCACCCCCCTGGGCTCCAGGCACTACACAGGGTCCAGAGATGATTGACAGTCAGGCAGGATGTGCATGTATGTGGGCTACGCACATTCTGTGCCATCTTAATGTCTTCTTACACAGTACCCTCACACTGGGGGTTCTAGAGAGGTTCAGGGTCAATCTCTGAACCAAGGAAGAATGATTACAACGTTCACTGAGTGTCCAGTCTGAGTCGGGCCCGTGTACACACAAAGGTTATCAAAGATATAGGGGACGCCTGGTGTGGTGACATGTCTTTAGTCCCAGCACTTTGGAGGCAGAGACAGGTAGATCTCCATGCGTTTGAGGCCAGCCTGGTCTACATAGTGAGATCTAGGCTAGCCAAGTCTATACAGTGAGACTGTCTCAAAAACAAATAAACAAATGGATGGAGGGGACAAATGGAGACGTGACTTTAGGAGGCCATCTCATGGGAAGATAAACACCTACGAGTTATCAAGGTGACCCACATGCAGAAAGGCCACAGTCTGAGTCACGTCAGATACCTGGCTAGGGAAAACGTGCTGATTTGCCCAGCAGTCTAGCAGTCAGGGAAGTAAGGGTGCCATGCCCGTCTGCAGGAGCAGTGTGAGCAAGGCCTGGGACGCTCTAACAGTCATTGGGGACATGTGGCATGGGGTGGGGTTCATGGAAGGCGTCCACTGCCTGATACCCAGGGTATATCCTGATGACCTCAAAGTCCTCCTGTCCTAGCACTGGAAATCCTCAATTGCTGCCTGTCTTCTCTCCCCAGGAACATGTTCCCAGCCAACCTGGTAGAGGCCACGTTCAAACAGGTGAGCAGAGCTTGGCTAGGAGGGAGGGGCAGGAGGGGAAAGAAGGCAGAGCTATCTGGGCCTGGTTGGAAAGTGACAGGCTGGCAGCCTTCCTGTCTTCCACAGAGGGATGCCAGGTGGGAGGGGACATGAGTAGGATCCATATCTTAGCCCCTCCCATGGTCACACCCCTGTCCTGGGTTCCAGTTACTCACAAGGAAACTCTGTAGGGCAGAAGAAAGCCTTGACTGAGCACCTGACTCAGCACATGGGTGTTCACACTTGCCCTCCCAATCATCCTTACAAGTGTCTACACCAAGGTAAGACCAGCCCATTTCCTGGATGGGAAGATTGAGGCTCAGAAGTAGATTATTGCTCAAGATTATACCACTAGTCAAGAATGAAAGAGTGAATGAATCAATTCAGGTCAGGCTATCGTCTAACATGCTTCCTCTCTAAAATCAGTCTCCCCATAAGAATAATAATAACATTCATTGTTGGAAATTAGGATAACATTAAAGTATACTAAGCAGGACCTGAGGAGTGTGCATCAGTTGGTAGAGTGTTTGCCTAGCATGTACAAAGCCCTGGTTCGATTCCCAGTACTGCATAAACAAGGTTTGATAATATACTTGTAATCCTCAGAACTCAGGGAAGTTGAGACAGCTTAGGCTGCTTTAAAAAATAATAATAAGCTTAAAGAAAAAAGTATGCAAACCCCAGGCAGCCTAGGCAATATAAGATTCTGTCTAAAAACAAAATAAATTAATAAACTTAAAAGAAAAAAAATATAGAAATCCCGCTCTCAGTTAACGCATGAAAACCACCTCTAGGTCAGGGATCTAGAAACAGAGGAAGCAGAAGGGACAGCTGCACCCTTGTTTGGGATCCTGGAATCCGAGGAATGAGGGAGCAAGCCCTGGGAATAGCCTGATGGGCAGAGGAGGACCTTGGGTATCTGACCTTCTCATCAACTAGGCCTGGGGTCTCCTCTTTCTCTGAGAAGGTTCTGGGCCTTTCCAAGGGACTGCAGGCCTTCGGGCTGTTGGGTGCCCTGGCCTGGTGGAAAGGCTGAGATGGTGACAAACCTTCTGGTAGAGGAGGAGGTAGAAGGATGGAGGGAGTCGGGCGACACAGAGCTGGAGGGAGCTGCAGGCACCGTGTAGTGGGATGAAGGACCCCCCTTCCTTCTCTTTGTGGTGGGTGACATCCTGGCTCACAAGGCTCTCCCTGGATAGTCCATTGACATCCACACAAGTGCGTACAAATGTGGCTTTAAGGTGTTCCTATAATAACAAGGTACTAATTCCCCCCTGGTCGGCATGCTCCCCAACAGTACCGCACCAAGACCACTCCAGTTATCAAGTCTCCCAAGGGGGCTTCAGAGGAGGCCCCTCCTCAGCGGATCCTCATCTACGGGGTCCAGGAAGACAATGGCTCCCGTGTGCAGAACTTTGCCCTGGACCTGACACCCCCACCTGAGATTGTGTACAAGTCAGAACCTGGTACCAGTGATGGCATGAACGTACTAGGCATTGTCATCTTCTCAGCCACCATGGGTATGTCCCTGGCAGTGCCCTTTCCAATCTTCCAGACCCTTCTTTCCTGCTCCTACCTAAGGCCCCAAGCCCTTCCTCGAGCTGAGAATTCCTGCCCTGGGGCTGCTCTGCCCACACAGGTGTCTGCCCTGCCCCCTCTGTCCTACCTTGAACCTTTCATGGAAGTCACGAGATGACAGCTGGTGTAGAATTGACCCTGTTGGTTAAGACTTTCATCCCACATTCGGGCTTTCCCTAGCTGTCTCTCCCTCTTGGGAGCTCCCCTTGGTGCTCATAGTAACTTCTCTGAGCACGTCTTTCCCTTTGAAAGTATTTTCTGGGTCCCCAAAGTCCCTCCAACCACAGTGATTTATTCACTTAAAAACCACTAAGGGCGTGACTTGGGGTCCTTATTTGTAGGTGAACCTTTGAAAGCATTCGCCTTTTTTGTTGTGGCAGTGGTGGGGTAGTTTTATATTCTTAGGTTTGCTTGTGTTTTGTTTTTGAACTTTTTCTTTTGAAAATTTCACACATGTATACAAATGAAAACAGTTTGGGTTTTTGCTTTTTGTTTTGTTTTTGAGGCAATGCCTCATGCAGCCTGGGCAGGCCTCAAACTCACTTTGTAGCTGAGAATGGCCTTGAATTCCTGACCTTCCTGCTTCCATCTGCCAAGTAGGATCATAAGTGTAAGCCTACTCAGCCTAAAGTCTTGCTCTTAAAGTGGCCCCTAAATAGTGTAGCTTCAGATGTCATTATCTCCTGCCTGAAATGCTGCCCACCTCCACCACCACTGCCACACACAGGACCCCGTCTCCTGGGGAAGCTCCAGCCCTGGTGTGGCTGGCTCCTGCTTCCCTGGCTTTCAGCTGCATTTCGTCCTCACAGCCTGCTCAGCATTCTGTTGTGTACAGGAGACATCCAGGACATGTGTCATCTGACCTCAGCAACCTCCCCTACCCAGCTCCTGCACCTGCCTCCAGTCTCTGCCATTACTACCACCCTGGAGCCACCTGGACCCTGCAACCACTGCCTAGAGGTTCCCCGCATCTTGTGTTCTGGGTCCTTGGGATCAAGAAGCCAGTTCTGTTCTGTAGGCTGCACTTGGACAGAAGCCAAATAGGGCTTTAGAGGCTGCAGAACTCAAAGGCGTGGCCCGGGCTGCTCCGTCTCCCTGCAATTCGGAGGTTCAGACCTCTGCCCTCTCTAGCCCACTGCTCTTGCCCTCCCTCCCTCCCTGCCACCTCTCTCATCCTCCTTAAGGTCTTTGTGTGCCCAGACTCAGTCAGGTGCCAGGGTCATGACTTCTCCGCTCCGGGTGCTCCACAGTGAACATCTGACCCTGTAGCATTAGTAGTCACTGTTTGTGCAGGATCGTGCTGAAGATGGGTTAAGTGGCTCAGCATCACACGCCTGGCTTATAGTCCATTTGCCTGAGCCCTCCATGGTGACCAGTGAGGGCAGGGCTCAGAGAAACCTGCTGAAAATAAGCTTGGATGATGACAGAGTGTGTAGGCAATAATAGATAGCAAAGCTCCTATTGCCTTGGCCAAAATACCAGACACATAAAGGGCTAACGCTGGAGACTGGCACCAGTCACTGGGCTTTCTGCCTCTCCAACACAGCCTCTCTGAGGGATGCAGCAAATGAAGGATACCTGGTAGCAGTGAAATGAAATGTCTGAGACTCAGGGTTCACTGGGAGGCGTAACTGTCTGGATTTCTGTACCTTTGTGCTAAGCCAGCACCAGCCCATCTTAGTTAGCGTGCCCACTCCTGTGAGAGCCTGAGTACCCTCACCTGCTTATGTCCAAACCATTATGCACAGTTGCCCTAGTCAAGGCTCTCTGGCCCTTCATCCCTGTGTTCTTTCCCCATCTTTCTTGGTATGGGGACATGGCTGGTGCTCAGGTCACCTGGCCTATGAGTGCCTCATTGTCACACCTGTATCCTATGTATAATAGATCTGAATTCATCCAGAGTCCATCCTGGAGACAGCCAAGTGAAGGTGAGGAGGGGCAGAAATAGCCAGACGGCAGACAGAGGTGGAAGGTGTGAGCCAGCTCATTTGCCAGGATGCCACAAGCCAGATGAGTAAGCCTGGCCCAGTCCTGGCTTCCCCTGCTTACACAGGCAGGCCCCTCTTCAACCCATCACCACAAGGTGACTTCTATGTGGATTAATGGTGACAGAGCCCTTCTTTGGAGTCCCATACGCCACATTCAGTATCCACATTTTCCCTTGCTGGGCAAGTCACCGCGCTGCCAAGTGGCATGCAGAGCTTTTGGAGGACAGTCTCAGCGGGCGGAACTCCCCAGAATGGTGATATGGTGGTGCTATCACAGGGCTGACCCTAAGGAATAGTCTCCCCATGTATTCTTGCCAAGAGAACTGACAGCCAAACAGCCAGACAGCCAGACACGGAAAACTGGGGAAGTGCTCTGAGGCAGCAGAGAACCTGCTATCTAGAATGCTAAGGCCCATGAGGCCAGGGCCCAGGGAGAAAGGGCAGACAGAGAGAGCAGGGTGGTATAGTAGAGTCAGGTAAGTGTGGCTGAAGCTGGGGAACTGGTTACTGTCAACGTGGACCAGCATCAGGATGTATTCAGGAGCCTTTATCTCAAGGGGATGAATGTCTACTGCTGTGTGGAGAATAAACTATGATCCTAGAGGCTGCAGGGAAGGCAGCAACGGCTGAACTCTGCATTGTGTGCCCACCTATCCTTGCTAACTGCATACCTGCACGATGGCCTGGTACACCTGTGACTTTCCATGTTACCCTGCAGGCATTATGCTGGGCCGCATGGGTGACAGCGGGACCCCTCTGGTCAGCTTCTGCCAGTGCCTTAATGAGTCCGTCATGAAGATTGTGGCGGTTGCAGGGTGGTAAGTTTGCTCCATTCCCCCCCCCCCCGCCCCCGGCCTGGACACATCACTGACCTACCCTCAGTGATCTCTTAGGAGCTCAACAACCTGCACAGGAGGCTCAGTCTGGGCCTGGGTGAGCTAGCTGGGTGTGCAGGGTTTCCAGCAGAACCAAGCCTAGTCTTCTGCTCTCTTGGCCTCAGTTTCCCCACATTGTGGAACCTGTTTGACCCAGCTTTTTGGAGAAAGCGCACAGTGGCCAGTAGCCATCCTGGTTAAGAGTTCAGGACTTCAGGAGCCTTCTAGTCAGAAGGGCATGCAGAGGATTGCCCACGGTCACCTAGGAAATGTGGCACTGTTGAGCTAAAATGCAGCTCCTTGAAGTTCCCGGTGGCATGGATGGAGCTGGCAAAGAGGTGCCAGGCTGCCTAGGGTTGGGGCCACTGAGGTATCTAGTGATCCCGGGGCCTGGCTCTCAGCTGGGCACCTCAGTTACAGTCTCATTCAGTCCTTGCGAGGGCTTGAGATGAGATCACATGGAGGCAAGGTGCCAGGTGGGATGGGACCCTGAACTGAACCTGAGGCCACTCTGCCACCCCAGGTACTTCCCCTTTGGCATTGTCTTCCTGATCGCCGGAAAGATCCTGGAGATGGATGACCCCAAGGCAGTGGGGAAAAAACTGGGTTTCTATGCGGTGACCGTGGTGTGCGGGTTGGTGGTCCACGGCCTCCTCATCCTGCCCCTACTCTACTTCCTCATCACCAGGAAGAACCCCATCGTCTTCATCCGTGGAGTCCTCCAAGCTCTGCTCATTGCGTTGGCCACCTCCTCCAGGTAGCCCCAGATGAAGAGCTGAGTGGGCTGGGGTAGGCTGAACAGAGCTCTGTCCATCTACCCAACCACCATTCATCTACAGCCACAGAACCACAGGGAGTGCTAACATGGCTAAGGAGCCCAGGGGTGGCAATAGTGTCTCAGCAATATCATCATATGGGACTTAATCTCAGTCATTCTTGAGACCTTCCTTTGCCCATAGTCCCAAAGCTTTCTCAGTCTTCATGGAGGACCATCCTTACTCCACAGCCAATTGCTCCTGTCAGGGTAGGCCCCTGACGTCACGGGGGCTCTGTCTACTCTACATGGGGTGTCCAGGCTGGGGCACCTGTTTCAATCTTGGCATCATTTCTGGACAGCCAAGGCTAGAGTCATAGCTCTCCTAGGCCTGCCAGTATGATGGTGGGCTGTCCCTTAACCTTTTCAGGCCTGGGTGTCCCCATACCCGGACTGGAATAATTTGTACCTGCACAGGACTCCTTCAGAGACTGGGCTAATTCACCAGGGGGTGAGAAAGCCAATAGAACCAGTGAACCCATGCCCAGCCTTGGGGACTCCTTACCACAGCTGAGTGCAGAGGTCACCCCTGTCAGAGACATCCCACCCCTCAGAGATTTAGCATTGGTTGCCTCTCTAAGCACTGCATGGCTTGATCTTGCAATCATCCTGTGACCTGGGAGTTGCGTACAACAGAAACCAAGGTGCCCAGGTTACGGGCTTGCTGAGGACCTGTAGGAGCCTGGACTCAGGGCCCAGCCACTCTGACATAGCCTCTGCGGGTCACTGCTATAGACACTCTTGATGTTCCTCCCCAGGGGAGATGAAGGAAAGGACATCAAATGCCTAATACATAGTGGTGCTCTTCCAGGGGTCACTCCTACCGGCCCGAGCTGACCCACACGTATGCCACACATTTCTGTCAGGGCATCAGTGAGCTGGCCCTCCTGTAGTGACTCACTTCAGAAGCCCAGACCATCCTGGAGGAGGGTGATGGGCAGACACCTGCCCCTCTGCCCCCAGCTCAGCCACACTGCCCATCACCTTCAAGTGCCTCCTGGAGAACAACCACATTGACCGGCGTATCGCTCGCTTTGTGCTGCCTGTGGGTGCTACCATCAACATGGATGGCACCGCGCTCTATGAGGCTGTGGCCGCCATCTTTATTGCCCAGGTCAACAACTACGAGCTGGACTTTGGCCAGATCATCACTATCAGGTGTGTACTAATGCCACACTCCAGAGGGCCCCTGGATCAGCAATGATGTGGGTACATGACAGCCACAGGCAGGGCTAGGGTAAGCCTAATCTCTGGGATCAGGGTGAGCAGAGGTAAGGGCCAGGCCTGAGGGCCAGTGAGGCTAGTGTCGGGCGCACGCGGCTGCAATGGGACAAAGCCTGAGGTCAGCTCCTTGTAGGCTAATCCCAACACACAATTCTGACCCGGGAGCCCAGGGCAGAATGAGGCTGGGGAGAGCTGGGGAAGACCACCAGAATTTGAGTGTCTCTGTCCCACAGCAGAGTTTCTTAACTTATCCCAGTTCCCTCAAGGAAGGGAACCCATGGGCATGAGTAGACACATGCTTCCCTGAGAACCCCCGACATGATACTCATCACAGCCCCCACCCCCTTGGCTGACCCTGAGGGCCTGGCATTCCGGTCTTGGAGCCAGGGCTGTTGCGGGTACCCTTGCCATATCCTTCTCCCTCTGCAGCATCACAGCCACTGCAGCCAGCATTGGGGCAGCTGGCATCCCACAGGCAGGACTCGTCACCATGGTCATTGTGCTCACCTCTGTGGGACTGCCCACCGACGACATCAACCTCATCATCGCTGTAGACTGGGCCCTGTGAGTGAGTGCTCCATTCCAGCCCTTGCCCAGCCCTATCCTTGCCGAGGCAGGGGGCTGGGGAATTGCCATGTATGGCACATGGGGGTGCCCCAATAATCTACACCCAGCTCAGTTGTATGACTGGGGGTCCCAGAGTTCAAAAGTCAAAAGAGTCCCCTTAAATTCTCTAGAGAATTTCTAGCGACCCTAAGTCACTATCTAGACCCTCTAAACACAGGGCCTGTGCTTAGAGCCTCTTCAGCTGCTTAGGCATCACTGAGGCTGGGTTGAGTGCATCCCCACCTGCAGTCACTGCCTGCACCTCTGTGCGGTGGCCTCACACTTTCCAGTTGAGTGTGGCCCTCTACCAATTCCCGGTTGAGGTTGCTGCGGCTCACTGCCCACTTTGGCTTGCCAGGGACCGCTTCCGTACCATGATTAACGTGTTGGGCGACGCACTGGCGGCGGGGATCATGGCGCACATCTGCCGGAAGGATTTTGCTCAGGACATAGGCACTGAGGTGAGAGGAGGCCTCTACCAGATGGAGCCAGGTGAAGGGCCCGGAGTGCCCAGATCTAGCCAGCACACTTCCCGCTGAGAAACCCAGTCCCTCATGCAGTATGCTGTGGGCTAGCTGGGAACTGTCTGGTATCCAGGGTTGCAGGTGTGTGTAGTTGGCTAAACCCACCTCACTGGAGGGAAGCTGAGTACAGGAAGTGGAGCTACTGTTCTCCAACTGGACCCTGTGGGGTAAGTCCCTTATCCACCAAGATAGGAGGCAGAAGGGGAGGCAGCTTGCAAACTGGTCCCCAGAGGAGCCTGTGCCCTTTCGGTGGCTGCTCGGTTTTACCTACCTTCATTCAGTCCCTCCTACTGCTAACGAGGCCCATTTCCTCTCCAGAAACTGCTACCCTGTGAGACCAAGCCAGTGACATTGCAGGAGATCGTGGCTGCCCAGCACAACGGCTGTGTGAAGAGTGTGGCTGAGGCCTCGGAGCTAACCCTGGGTCCCATGTGCCCCCACCACATCCCAGTCCAGGTAGAGCAGGATGAGGAGCCGGCCACTGTCAGCCTAGACCACTGCACCATCGAGATCAGTGAGCTGGAGACTAATGTGTGAGCCCGCAGGGCTGCAGAGCCAGGCCAGACCCTGGGGTAGGAGCTGAACTCAAATTACACCCAGTTCCACTGACAGGCTAGTCAGCCATTGATGAGAAATAGTGTCTCAGCAGACACAATGCGTTCAGGAGCCCCGGCCAGCAACTATGGGCTCTGTGACAGAGCTGTGGCATTTTCTACTGCAAGAGCCCACAAAAGCACTTGGCAGGGAGGGTCTTTACCTCTACTTTGTGGAGGAACAGTTTTGGGGCCTAAGAGCTAAAACCATCAGGGCCAGGATATAAATTCAAGTCTTTGGACAGACAAGGCAGCCTGCAAGGACCAGCAAAAGAGGCTCTGCCCTCTCCGGGGTCCCCACAGCCACCACTGATTCCAACTCACAGAGCTATAACAACAGTGTCTCTGTTTCTGCCCCAGCTGTGTCCAGGTCAGGTCAACCTGCCCCACCCCATAGCATGTGGTTTTAACCCAACACTCCCAGTAAGGGCTGGCCCATCCCAGCACTGAGACCTGATGCCTTCCATGTGTCACAGCCTTGCTCATCTCTGTCCACCAGATCTCTCGTCTAATATGGAGAATGATGCCCACTAGTGCTGGGAGGTCCCATGGGTACAGCCCACCCAGCCTCCCGTGGGACAGGTGAGCAAGATGGGTCACAGGAAGGGAGGCCTGGCCTGGGGCTCTCCGGCCATGTGACTACGCAGCAACTTGAGGTCCAATCTCCATAAACACTTGTGTGGCAAAGTGGGCTGAGAGCTGCTAGTTCTTTCTGTGTTTGCAATAATGTGATAAATAAAAATCTTTGTGTTTTCAAGACTTGCGGATGTTACAGACTGTGTGCTGGTGGGTGGTGTTTTGTTTTGTGATTTGGGACACAGTCTTGTTAGGCAGAAAAATAAGAAATCTCTGCCAAAGCCTGCCATTGGTTAGTTAACATTTTGCTTCAGAGAAGGGCCCAGACAAGGGCGCTGTCCATACAATCTGTTGTAGCCAGAATTGGGGTTAGGGATGCGGTGGGTTATAACTCTGGGGTCTAGAGGGGTAAAATACCAGACCCATGGGGACACCGAGACCCAGAGAGGAGACAGGCCACCCCAAGGTCACTCAAGGGCCAGTAGGACACAGACCCTCAGTCTTGAAGTCTACCTTCCTCCCATGAGTGTAAAGACTACAGGAAGGCCTCAGCTCCAGGACACACTCCCCCACTCCCGACTCTGTGGCCTCTCGGGGTCCACCATAGCTCTTTCCACAGGTGATTCCTGACCACCTGGGAGAGATCAGCTGCCCAGTGAGTTACTCTGCCTCCACGTAGATGGGCCCTCTTGGCCTTCCCTCAGTCACTTCTTAACGCCTTTGAGGAATCCAGTTGCCTTACCCAGCTAGCCACAAGCAGGAGTCTATATTCTGATTGTCAGGCTTGTGCCCATATACCTCCAGGTCAGGGAGACCCCTATATAGTCATCTAGATCCAAATGGCACTATAGATAGCCTCCCTACAGCCTTCAACCCAGGCCCAGCTCTGCCCACATCAGGGTGGCGTATTGGACGTGTCCCTCACTCTTTCCTGGCCATACCTGAAGAGACTGTCTCCACATCAGCTCTGCATGAACTCTCAGACCTGCTGCCTGCCTCTTCCTTGCTTGGACAGCAGGGACCACATCAGTAACACCAGCAACAACACTTCCCTGAAAAGGTAACTCTCCAGGTGGGTCCTCTGCCTGGGGGCTCAGGTTGGGGGTGCAGGGGTAATGTGCAGGTCGGTGCCATCTGACTCTAAAAGCAGATTGCCACCCACTGAGGGTGCATGCACCAAGCCTTCCTGCCTTGCTACTCTGTCCCATCCCTCCTCTGACTGCACCACTCCTGCGCGGGCCCCTGAGTCCTGGCACTGGCCCAAATTCTTGCTGGTCAGGGGTATTGCTTGTTGGATCTTGCCCACCCTGAGCAGGTACCAGTCCAGCTCCTGGATGGAAGTACACACAGACACGGCATGGCTGCACGGGCAGGGACAATGCTTTTATATTACTTTTTCTGTAACAGGAAAAGTCAGCTTTGAGATTTTTATCTCCATATATATTTTTCTCCTTAAACAAAACCAAAGGTGCCCAGAACTTTCCTGCAGAACTGAAGACCGATGCAGTCATGCCCTTGAGCCCCCCGCCATGCACAGCTGCCTCCCCTTCCTTCTTGAGGTTGTCCTCAGAAAGTGCCTGTGACCTGCCAGGGCACAACCAAAAGGGGCTTCCTGCAGTGGGGCTGCCCCAGCACCCGGAGAAGGGGTAAGGCCAGAGGGAAGGCAAAAAACAAAAGCCAGCTTTTGTGAGTCTCAGAGGGTGGAAAGCACCTGGCCACAGGGCAAGGAGACAACCCCAAATCCCCAAGGGAGAGAGACAACAGAGGAAAAGGCACATGGCCAACTCTTATGGCCAGAGCTGCCCACAAGCAAGAGCTTTTGGTGGTACAGGCCACTCTGTGTGTGTGGATTGGGAAGAGAGTAGCTGCCTGAGTGTACCAGGCCAGTGTGGACTCAGAGGTCAGGGCGAAGGCTCATGTGCAACTGGCTGTGTGGACAAGCGGGGGGTGTGGTATCTGCACATGTCTAATTGTGTGGTATTCCAGGAAGGGGTGGGACACGAGACTGTGTTCAGCCTGTGGCATTCGGATGCCCCTTGGGCTCAGCGTTGGGTGTGTCAGAAGGGGGCGCTCGTGGGGCACAGGCCTGGGCTGCAGAAAGGAGTTCAGTGGTCCATTGTCCTGTGGAACATGTTGGAGAGTCAGCACTAAGACACACAGCTTTGGGAGAAATGAATCAGAGGGAGGGGGGTTTGGAAGCTAGGTTACCGGGAGCGCGGATGGGGAGGCACCCCTGGGAGTCTCGAACCAGGAGGTGCCCAGCTTGAATACAGAACTCTCTGGGACTTCTCCCAGAACTCCACTCTGTTGACTATGACCAACATTCCACACAGAAGAAGATTCTTCCAACCCCAGAACTCTACAGCCCTTCCCCCGGAGAGTCAGAGACTCCTCATGGAACAGCAATCGCCCCTTCCTGCTGACCCCTGACTTTTGAGGACAGAACCTGAGGACAAGGCCATAGCTGACCCTGGGAGGGGTCTGCTCCACCATGCTCACAACCCTGTCTAGCTTCCACTTTCTATCATTAGTGAATACTTGTCCCCATCATCTATCCTCACAGCTGCCCTCACCCATCACCCCCCCCCCAGCTCCTCCCAGCTCTAGGCCCTACTTCAAGTCACTATCCTAACTGTGGCCATGACCAGCAGCCCTCTCCCATGGCTGCACCCTGGCCTCTTAACACCTCACACATTCTCTGACGTCCTAACTAACCTTAGATATCCCCTCTCATCACTGCTCTCTGCCCTATCACTTGCCCAGGTTTTTGCACCCTCTCCACATCTCTGCTACCAACACTTCCTTCCTCCTGTCCAGGCCACCAAGCCTGGTCCCCAGGACAGAGACTGCTAATTTAACCCATTTCTTTGTTCCTTGTCTTCCTGGTCCCACAACATAACCAGAAAGTTAGCCATGGATGAATCCAAATCTCTGCTTAGCACCTTCTACTGCATGGACAGAAAGCTGATGGTCTCAGCTGATGTGGCTTCAGATCCGGCCATCAAAGCCACTAGCCTGCCTGTGACTGCAGCCACTCAGCTCCCTGGCCCTCCTTCACAGAGGGACAATTACCAGCCTCCTGCAATCCCTACAGCAGCCCTCTCCTCACTACCCTCCCTCCACAGCACAGCCCATGGAGCACCCATTCCACTGCGCCAAAGAACTACCAAGCGGAGTGGGCCTTTGTGAGTTTTACAAGCCCCCCCCCCTGCTGCCCCTCAGCTCTTGCCACCCCAGTAGATATATTCTCTGACTTCCCAGCCGTTCTCTCCACCCCTACCTCTCCCCCAATTGTTCCCTAGGAAGTGCCAGGGACTCCAAGACACATCCAGTTAGGCTCGCCAGAGTCCACCTCCCTCAAGCTCTTAGCACTGAAATAGTTGAGCTGCCTGCTTCTAGGGAAGCCCATGCATGAACGAGGTATGTGTGTATATGTGTGTCCACATGTAAGCCTGTATGAACGGGTACCAATAGACATACCGCTATGCACACTTCTTCACACAGGTATGTACATGTTATTAGCTGTGGCTGTGTCCTGTAGTAAAGTACGTATACATATGCACATGTGTAGATACTTGTGTGCACAAACTCCCTGTACATTAGCTGTCTATGGCAGCCCTCTCCCTCACTGTCCTGGACAAGCTCTTCCAGCCTCCTTCACTGTCTATGCCTATCTCAAGGCCTACAGTGACTACATCCCCACCTCCAACTCAGGCTTCTCCTCTGAGCCCCAGACTCAGGAGTCTCTGCACCCCAGGTATCTCCCGGCAATGCTCATCTCCTTGTGTTAGAATGCCTTGGCACAAACTGGCTCCCACGGTGCAATCCTACATTCAAAACGAACTGGCAGGTTTTCAAAAGGAAAGGGTAGGATAGAGGGCATGGTGAGGATGACACAGAAACCTAAGACAGGCCAGAGACAGTGTGAGGAGGGATAAGCACCACACCCACACAGACCACCCACCTGGGTCAGATTTGCGTCCTTCTGTTAGGATCCCGTCTCTTCTTCCTCATCATCCTCATCATCCTCTTCTTCCTCTTCCTCATCTATGTGGCCCCGGTCCTTGGAAATGTCACCAACCTCAAAGTTGCCTTCGATGTCCAAGACCTGTAGGTGTTTCAGCCTCCAGAAGGCACTTTCCACCACGGAGCCCACAGCCAGCTTGTTGAATCTGAGTGGTGGCCCATGAGTCAGTGTCAGGAGCCCAGGCTGATGCCCTCATGCCTGCCCAGCTCAGAAGGGAAGAGGGCAGGGAGGGGGTGTCCGGGAAGTGACACAGCAAGTTGTAAAGGTTGGGGACCAAGGAGCGTGGTGCACCATGGCAAGTAGACCTTTTAGGGCACTGACAGCTTGGAGGAAGGGAATGGCAGAGGGCTGCAAGAGAAGTCTATACACTCACTTCATCCATGAGTGGCAGCCATGGGAGCCGCCTCTGCTGCCTTCGGCACTAACCTCAACCTGACTGGCACACGGGCAAGGCCACGACTGAGCTGGTAAGGGATACTCAGTCCTGATTTCAGGCCCAACAGTGTCTCAGCCCTACTCAGAAGCCTGAGTCACACCACCCCAGTGTCACCATGGACCTTCTGCTATCATCTGTTTGTCTCCTCATTGATCTAGGGAAGGCGTCCAGTTGGGGTGTGGGAGGGGTTGAGAGGAAGCCATAGCCTGTGGGGTCTGAGTTCCTGGAAGTCCTAACTCCAGAGCCCAGAGGGACCTAGGCATCCGCACCTTTGGTCTGACACCTGAGCCCTACCTGGCTGGCTGTGACACAGCTGTCACCTGTGTCCTCGTCGCTGCGGGTTAGCAAGATGCTCTCTGAGCCTCTTCTCATACCACAGAAACATCAACAACACCCTACACTAGTTGTTAATGTTTCTGATGTCCACTAACAGACCCATGAGCCACTGCCGTCTGCCAGAGCTGTGCTCACATTCTACCTGCAAGCTCCTTCTCAGATGTCCATTTATTGTTAGATGTGGGATTGGGAGGGGCCGGGTGCAAGCTGGGCTTCAGGACTTCCTACCTGAGAAAGATCCCCTTGAGGTTGGGAGTGGAGTCGAAAGCGTTAGCAGGAACAGAGCTGATCTTGTTATTCTGCAGGTACAGGTACTCAAGCGATGGGGGGAGCCCCTGCGGGATCTCTGTGAGCTGGTTTCCAGCGATGTCCAGCAGCTGCAGAGGCGAGCGGAGGAGTCAAGGACCTCCCACCTGTGCAGAGCACTTAGCAGCTTACAGACTCCCACCAAGCTGTAGTCTATCCACATCTAATGAGAACCCCAGTGTGTGTGCGTGTGCGTGTGTGTGTGTGTGTGTGTGTGTGTGTGTGTGTGTGTGTGTGTGTGTGTGTGGGTCTGACAATCCACTTTTTCCAGGTGGGGAAACAGCTCATCGAAGTTAATCCATCTGTAAGAGGCTGGAACATGCGCCAGACTCCATATTTGTTCTAATTGATGTAGATCCTACCCGGCCCCTTCTTTCTGCCTTTGCACATGAAGTCATAGCCAAGCTGCTTGCATGTCATAGCCTTTCCTCTTTAATCCACTTGTCACTTCCATCAGCCCAGACACAGCAGGATCCACGTGAGCTGGTCACGTGACGTGCAGGGCCCAGGACAGTGGGCACAAGGCTTGTAGAAATCCAGGCACAGCAAGCAGGCCCCAGGCTAGTTAGGCTTAGAGTCACCTCATGCCGGGAACCCAGGAGCTGTGAGAGGAAGCGAGGCAGGGGACCTGGCACACACTGGCTCTGTGCTCACCCTTGTCGCCCCTCCGAGTACCAATGCACCTTCTCCAGACCCACACTAGTGCTGCAACTTCTCTAGACCTACCCTAGTGCTGCATGACCTAATTTAAGCACCGTCATCACCCTGAGAGGCTGGGATTGGGGGTCATCGCCCAGATCTCACACAGCTTGGTATTCAGCATCAGGATCGCAGCAGAACCCACTATTTCCAACTCTATCACCTCTCTGCTCACAGAGCTTCTTGTTTCCCATTTTGTCTCCACAGCCATTGACACCCTCCCCCCCCCAGCTTTACCACTCCCTCATTCATTCCAGAGGTGGTTGGCGCCCATGGGTGCTGGGGACATGGATTCCATAAGACACCATCTCCACTCTCAGAAGCCAGACAGGCTGTGTAGATGGACCAGGGCCCGACAAAACCAGCCGCAGGTTTGGCTGTAATGAGAGAGTGGTAAAAGGCCTCATCCAGCTTCAAGCCAGGAAGTGATTTCCAGGGCATTAGCACAGGATAGATTTGAGGAAAACGGAGCAGTTGCCTGTCAAAGAACCCACAGTGTGAGGGAGAATCCCTGCTTGCTCCCCAGATACCCAGGCTGAGGCTCAGGGAAGTGTCTCACCTGCCTGTCCCTGAGTGTTTCCTAGGCAAGGGATCACTCAAGCTGAGTCTTAGGTATACCCTAATGAGGGTGGTGCCCCCTCTTATTTCTCACAGGATCCCCAGCTCCAGAATTGTGTCTAGTACAAAGTGGGGACTCTTCCACGCTTATAGGATGAACGAAAGGACAAATGAACAGATGTCTCCAGTAAGCAGAGTGCTTCCAGTAGAAGGCCTGTTCAGGAGCAGAGGGGAGCCTTGAAAACCATAGCAGGTAGTCCAGCCCAGGACCTCAAGGAAGCAGAAGACTAGATAGGAGCCTGTGTGCACATGCGCTTTTCAAGTACAGGAACGGTGAAATCCTAGGAAGGTGTGGTCCAGTTGAAGAATAGGGTGACTTGGCCTGGGGCATAAGCAGCCTGAATGGAGAGCTGTAGTTGGGGTAGGAGCTACCAGGCTTCCTGAGGCAGGCAACAGACAAGAAGTATGCCAAGTGCAGCTTACAAGTTTCCCTGGGTGGGTGTGGCCCTTCTCCCTTAGTTAGAAAACGCAACAAGGCGGAGCAGGTGTGGAGGAATGGGGCCAAGACTGGGCTCCCGAAGAACAGCTTTCAGAGCAAGAACAGAGGCTGGTGTGGCTCTCAGTGGGGTAGCCTGGGTGAGGAGAGACCCCAGCTGTGCTGTAGAACCAGCTGCCTCAGCCATCACACCATGTTCAACCAGGGTGCCTCCTGGATTCTCTGTCTCTGCCTCTCTCCAGTATTCTCAGAGGACACTCCAGTCCTGATGGCAAGTCAAGTCCCACCACCACAGCTAGCACATCTGACTGAACCATGAGCCTCTCCTTCTACCCAGAATACAGGCAACTGACAATCCATGGGACTCAAGGCCTAGCAGATTAGCTTTTAAAGAAAAACAATGCAGAGAAAAGACCTCAAAAGTGGAATCTAAGCAGAGAGGGAGAGGGGACAGTGTGGAGGGTCTCAGCTTCTGTCATGAAGGATGGCTCTGGGAGGGAACAGAGCTACTGTGGCAGGCTTGGCCCCTCACCCTGTCCCAATGAATTTCACCTGCTCACCTCACATGGGAGGTTCCTCTTGTCCCCAAAGAGGTTTGACCTCGGGGACATCCCTGCATAGTCATAGCAGCTATGCCCATGATTGGCCCCTGAGTGCCTTGAGCAGCTCTTCCACCCTGGCCGTTGGCTGACTGGTAACATCAACATGGTCAATGCCCCAACTTCTAACGTCAAGGCCCAGCCTTCCACAGGCACCTACTTCTTTTGTGCTTCAGGTCGCTGGGCCCATGCTGCCCATACTGCCCCCTAGTCCTGAACTAGGGACCCTGACCTGCAGCCATGGCTGTCTCTAACCTCTACCACTCTTCTCAAGCCTGGGCCTGCCTGTGATGACCCGACCTGGCCACTCCAGACACAGGCTCCTGTGTTCACTCCACCCTTTGCTTTTACCCCTATAGGTAGGTTGAAGTGCATGGTCGGACCCGACCCTCCTACCCTGTAGGATCAGCCTCCCTAGTAGGAGCAATCTGGCTCCTGGCACAACCGTCCCTCATCCCAGTAGCTGCGTAGGCAACCATCCTAGTAGGTCTACCACCCTCTCTCTTCCCTGGCCCCCATGTGGCCCAGTTCTTTAGTACCTGAAGACCAGCAAGGTCCACCCAGGCACGGGGTCCCAGGGCCCGGCTACGCAGTCGGTTGCCTGTGAGGTAGAGTTCCCTTAGCTGGGCCATGCCAGCTAGTGCCCCACGAGCCAGGGCAGCCAACTCATTGCGCTTGACCTTCAGCACATGTACATTTCTAGGCAGGCCCGGAGGCAGGGTTTGCAGGCGATTGCCAGACAGGTCAAGGGAGCGCAGCAGGCGTAGCTTGCGGAAGGCATCCCGATGCATCTGTGGGCTGGTGATGCGGTTGTAGCTGAGGTTGAGCTCTTCCAGGAAGTAGGTGGTGGCGAAGTCCTCACGGCCGATGCCTGTGATCTGGTTGTGCAGAATCATGAGGGTGCGAACTCTGCGGGGCAGGCCTCTGGGCACACGCTCCAGCGCATTGTTGTACAGGTGCACTGTGTGCAGCCGCTTGAGGCCCTGGAAGGCCAGCGGGTGGATGCCCTCAGCCCGCAGCTGGTTGCTGTGCAGCAGCAGGTACTCAAGGCTGCGGATGGGTGTCAGCACGTCCGCATCTACACTCTGGATGGCATTCTTCTCCAGGTGCAGCAGCACCAGGCTGCGCGGAAGGCCCGCTGGGACCCGGGACAGGTTATTGCTGGACAGGTCCAGGTACTCCAGGCTGGAGAGCTTCCTGGAGAAAGGAGGGGACTGAGATGCTAAGCAAGAGCCCACACCCCCACGCACACCCGCCATCTCAGCAGGCCTTATCTATACACTTGGCTTATTCCCAGGGACGGAAATGGCAACAGACACAAGCCCCAAAGTTTCTTCTCCAGGGAAAGCAGCCAAGGGAAGTAGACACGTGGCTGTGCCCAGCTGGGACCAGCTGAGACTGCCGGGTGCCATGGTGATGAGATGGATGCGGTGATGAGACACGGTACTGCAGGGACCCACCAGAAGGTCTCGTTGTCCAGGCCCTCATCGGTCAGGAAGTTGTTTTGCAAGTACAGCTCCCGTAGGTTGCTCAGCTCACTGAAGGCCCCAGGGGGGATCTTCTCTAGTTTATTATTCTAGGAGGAAAGGGAGGGAGAGGGCAAAGTGAGAGGCTGGGGCATGAACCAGGCCTCAGGATGAGGTGCATAGAGGAGCCTGGGGGCTACCAGAAGAAGATTCAGACCTGCAGCATCTGGGTGTGCTGATGACCCCCTCAAACCCACACTGATGGTCAGGTGCCCAGACATCTGCCTGCTCCCCTAGGTGGCTAATACTCCTGCAATGAACTCTCAGATGCTCTGGGCATCCCCGTACTCAGCTGGGCTGTGCTTTTCCCTCAGCAATGTGTGTCTGGACACAGGTTTGCCTCTACCCCCATCTGCCCTCTCTGTCCCCTACCTTGAGATGTAACTTGTACAGGGCAGGTGGCAGGTGTTTGGGCACATGGCGCAGGAAGTTGCTGGACAAGATGAGGATCTCGACATTGCTGGAGCCATTGAACATGTTGTCCGGCAGCCCGGCATCTGCAAGCTTGTTGTTGTGCAGGTACACAGACCTGCGGGATCCAGGGACAGTCCTCACCCCATCTGGGCTCCCTGGCCCTAAGCCAGCTTTGCTGTGTACCTTTGCTGAGATCAGGGCCCCAGGCAATTTTCTAACATCTGAACCCAGGCATGTGGAGCTAAAGAGCTTCAGAATCCCCTCTGTGGTCAGGGACAGGGAGCACAGGCTCAGCGTCCTGCCAGAGGTCACCACATACATTAGTGGCAGAAATAGGACTTCCTGGTCCCAGCCCAGACTCCTTCATCTGAAGTCCAGTGTGAGGGTCCCGGGAGTGGCCCACTTTTTAAAGCAAGTTCCAAGAAGACAACTCTGCCTGCTAGAAGTTGCTTTTCCCTCCCAGACCCCACCACTCCCATGCATAATAAGCTCTCATCCCTCTTTTCTTGGTTGGAGACCTCCTCATCCCTCAGGCCTCAGTCTTCTGGATCCTGAGCTGCTCTAGGCCCTGGGTGTTCCCCTGAGCACATTCCATAGCCCACAGCGCAGTGAGCCCCCTCTCAGGACCTGCCTGTGTTTCCTCTTTGTCTCTGCTTCCCCCAACCTCCCACACACACACACACACACACACACACACACTCACCCGACACACATACATTCCTACACACCCAGGATCATCCCTCTGACTTCTGACCTCAGATTTGGCTTTTGGCCAAAGGTGAGTCCGTAGATCTTAGTGAGATAATTGGCAGCAAAATCCACACTGATCAGGGCGTTTGGCAGGGATCGCGGTGCCAGTGTCAGCTGGAAAGGAAAGAGCCAACAGAGAGGCCAGTAGGGGCTCGCACTCGGTGCTCACTTTCTTCCTTCCCTTGGCTCTTCCTCCACACCACAGCCACTTTCCCAGCATAGAAACTTGTCTTTTGATAAAATGTGCCCAGCTTCCACAGCCTTAGCTTGGCAGTCGAAGCCCCTGCACCTGTCCCCACACTCCTGGGCTCAAGGGGAAGGGGGTTAGAGGTCAGAAGAAACCCTGTGATTTGAAAAGTTTCTCTGGGTAGAGGGAAGGCAAGCTTCACTGCTCACATCCTTTCTGTTTATTATTTACTTCTATACATTTTGAAACATGTCTCCTTGTGTCCAGGCTTGTTTCAAATTCCTGGATTTAAACGGTCCCCTTCTCAACATCCAGGGCAACAGGGACCCAGAAGCCAGGTTGGAAAGGGCACTGGGGAACAATCACAGAGCTCAAGGGAAGAGAGAGCCAAGCCTGCCCACCCCAGGGAAGCCCGCCCGCCCTCCATAGCCCTCACCTTGTTGTTGGCCAGGTACAGGTAATTGAGGCTAGTCAGATGCTCAAACGCCTCCTCTGGGAGCCCTTTAAAGGACAGGTCAGAGCCCTGGATGAAGGAGAGACTACAGGGGAGCAAGCGAGCCACCCGCTTGCTAGGTAGCTCCCTCCCTTCCCAGTCAGCTCCAGCCTTCTCTCCTCACGTGGCCCAAGCTCAGAAGCAAGCAGCTAAGTGCTTGCTAGGGACCCAACCAGCCTAACCCTTTGAAGCAGGAAGGAGGGCTTCAGGGGGTCAGAACTCCACCTACAGACAGGTGCAGCCAAGCCGGGAAGGGATCCCTGCAAGGCAGGCCTCAGCCCTGGTCCCTCTGACAGCTGGCTTGTAAGGAGACCAGTTAGACTGGCCCCTCTCCAGCCCTGAGTTGGCCTCTGACATCCAGTTCCCGCTCCAGGACCCCCAGATGCTGGGACTGGCCCAAGTCAAAGGAGAGGGAACAGTTACATAAGCCATGGGCTGTCTCTCCAAGGAATACCCTGCTGTGGTGTGTGATGTGACAGCCAGCTAGAACTCCAGCAACCGCAGTGAGAGAGACAAATTGATTGTGAAACAAAGCAGGCCCCACCGTGACTGCAGGAGTTCGGCTGTGGGTTTAAAACCTAAGATGAATGACTTGAGATCACACGTCAAACTGGACAGGACTTTTAAACTGGGTCACTTATGGCATATACATTTCATATCAATAAAGCTGCCTCCTTTTAATATGGGGAAGGGAGAATACCAAAATCTTAATATTGATTAATTCAAAGTGGTAGGATTATGGGGTTCCCCCCCCTTCCACTTCGTTTTCTGAAAGTTCTATCTCAATTATATATTACATTTGTCTTCGGGAGAAGAAAAAACAAAAAAAAAATCAACTTAAGAATGTTGGATACTAAGGGCCCTTGCAAATTGGAGAGTGTTTGACAAGGTCATTTTTATTCTATAAGCTGAACATCCCAGACTCCTCCAGGCACAAGCCACTGCCTGGGTCTCAGACACTCACAGCAGGTTCAGGCCCACATCAGAGAGCCCAACCCAAGCCCTGGCTCCCCTTCACCCCAGGGTCTACAGGGTAAGTTCTCTGGGTGGCCACCACGCCTGTCGGGCCTCTGAGGCCCCATGTTCCAGGCCGCCTCCCTCACCTCGGGAAGTCAAGCGGTTGTTCTGAAGGTTGAGTGTCTCCAGCCGCTGCAGCCGAGCCAGCTCCTCAGGGTAGATCTTCTCCAGCTGATTGTTCTGCGGGGAGATGGAGGCAGAAGTTCAGGGGTAGTCCATGAGGGTTCCGTACCTACCCTTGGCCCTAGGAGCATCCCTCTGTTGGGCACCTGCCTGGGAATTCTCTCCAGAGGCAGATGTGCCACTCCTGGAGCTGGGTCCCCTTGTCCTGGTTTTCCTAGTCTTGTAATAGTGTCAGCGGTGCCCTATCTATCCAGCTGCTGGGCAATTCTGGGCCCATGGTGAGGCATTTTTACTCTATCAGCTGAACATCCCAGACTCCTGCATGAACAAGCAGGCTATATCTAGGGCTCATTGGTACCAAAAGGGTCTGGTCTGCCTTGCTACCCTGAATCCGGGGGTTTGGTGGGGGAGAAGCTGTGAAAATTGGAGGTTCTGCATAAGAAGGGCGCTGGGCAACCATGTTGAAGGCTTTGAGTGGACAGCTAGGGACAACTGCTGGAGGAGCATCCGCCTCACCTGCAGGGACAGATGATTGGTGTGCTCGGGCAGGTCGCCTGGAAACTCGCGCAGGTCAATGCCACCGCAGTCCACAACGCCTTCCTGGGAGCAGGCACAGTCTCGGGGACAGTCAATGGTGGTTGGGCCAGGCTCTGGCTCCTCAGGGCTCAGGACTAGCACGGGCTGCTCCTCCTCCACAAATTCATTCTCCTCAGGGCTCAGGCTGTGGGTGTCACTCTGGCCAAAGACAGGCGCCCTCACAGCCAGTACAGGGCCCAGGAGCAGCTGTGGCAACAGCAGCAGGAGAGGTAGGCCCCTGCTGCTGGCCATGGTGCCTGTGGAAGGAGTGGCTCAGGCCCACCTTGGTGCCAGGTGATTCATGTCACATACACTGGGCATATAGTTATGGCCACTGAAGTCATGATAGGCCTCTCGTAGGCTAAGACAGTGGCCGCTCTAGAGCTTGAAGATGACTGCTCCTCTCTCACTGAGGATATCCTCTGTAGTGATGGAAGTGCCACGAAGCCCTGTCCTTAGTCAGGGCTGCAAACCACCTATAACCCTCACCAGCCTGGGTCCTGAGGAATTTGCATCCGTTTCACAGAAGGGATGCTCAGGCAGGGCCTGGAATTTGCTAAACTCCTGCTATCCTGACACAGACAACGTGGCAAGCCTTTGTCCCTCCCTAGCAGGTCCCATGGAGGATCCCGGAACTTGGCCCTGCCACTTTCCCATCACCAGCTGAGTTACACAGAATTACTCAGCGGTCCCTCGCTCCAGGCCTTTGCACATACTATTCCTTCTGCCCCAAATGCCCTTTCCCTCTCTTGTGCCACCAGCAATTTCCTTTCCAAGAAATAACTCGGGTGCTACAGTGTGGGAGTGGGGAGGCATTGGAGGGTAGAGTCTGAGATTGCCCAGGGCTTAGCAATAGTTGACTTGGGTTGTGAACTCTTAACAGTCACAGCACCTAGGTGGAGAAAACCACCTAGGTGTCTGTCTGTGGGTACAGTCTGAGTGAACCCAAAGCCAGGCAGAGAGGTGACTGAGGCTGCTGTCATTCCTCAGTCATCCTCCCCAGGACCCGGCACACTCACGTGACCTCTGCACCTGATGATAACCCCCAGTGCAGCAGGGATGGATACAGACCAAGGATGTCGCCCTCGTCCCACAGGCCAGGGCTTAGCATCACATGGACTCAGAACTGTCTCTAGGATGTGTTGAGCTGCAACAGGTGGCAGGTCCCACAGACCCCAGTGGAAGCCTCACCTCCTCCAATTCACGGCATCCTCCCTGCACCTTAGCCTGCTCATCTGAACCAGGCAGGTGCTGTCTAAACTAGCAGACTTGTCAGGGCAGAGTATGACAACAGACACAGCACCCGAGGCCCATTAGGTGACCGGAGCAGCTGCGGCTCCACGCAGTGGCATGTCCCACTGAGCGGCTGAGAGGTGCACAGACGAGTGTCCAGGCTTTGCAGTCCACTCCAGAGTGGAGCAATCACCAGTACACAAGCCAGGCCGGGGTCTCTCCCACCACTCCCTTGGGAAATACAGCAGCTAGAAGGGTCTGGTCAGAGCTTGTCACGGCAGCATTAGGGAAACTGGGAAGTTGGCAGTGGTGCTAAAGGGTAGGATGTGGAGAACAGCGTGTCGCTGTTTTGCCGTTTTGAAACGGTCTCAATTTCAGTTTCTTCTCTGTCCTAGAGATTACAGAAGTGTCCTCCATGGATACTCCATAAGTCAATGAGGCACACACAGCAAATGCCTAATAAATTAATAAACATAAGTTTCTCCCTTCCATTACTCTACTTTAGTGGTTCTCAACCTAGTTCCTCACGTTGTGGCGACCCCCAATGATAAGGTTATTTTCATTGCTACTTCATAACTGTAATTTTGCTACTGTTGTGAATCATAATATAAATATCTGATGTGTGACCCCTGTGAAAAGGTTGTCTGACCCCCATGAAAGGGTCTCGACCCACATGCTGAGAACCACTGCTTTATTCCATAGCATGGCCCCTCCCAATCACATCATTACCACACTCTAGCATCCCCTTTTCACCCCATCCCATTTGCGGTAGTCTGAATAGGTATGGCCCCATAGACTCATGTATTTGAGTGCTTGGCCCATAGGGGGTGGCACTATTAGGAGATGTGGCCTTGTTGGAGTAGTTGTGGCAAAGGAGGAAGTGTGTCACTGTGAGTGTGGGCTTTGAGGTCTCATATGTGCTCAAGCTATGTCCAGCAACATAGCTCACTTCCTGTTGCCTATGGATCAAGCTGTAGAACTCTCAGTTCTTTCTCCGGGACCATGTCTGCCTGCCTACACAGTACCATGAGCCAGCCTCAATTAAATGCTTTCCTTTATAACATCTCTTCACAGCAGTAAAACGCTAAGACACCATGTCTGGAACCACTTAGGCTTCTTGGTCTGGTTGGTCTGAAACCATCTGCTCTTCATGTACTGTAGATGATGCTGCAGCACACAAGTCATTGTGACTCCCCCTGCTGTACTATTTTAGATACTGCTTTGTGCTCTTAGTGCCTCAGATGCCCCATCTTGCACCCAGCCCTGGGCCCTGAAGACAGAGGTGAGGTAGATCACTCAGATCCAGGTGGCAGTAGAAAGGGGGTCTCTAGGAAGACGAGATAGCCCAGGGAAAGGCCAGGAAGAAGAGAGCAACAGCCAAGTCCCTTGACTATACCATCCATGTGGCCTAAGCAGATGCCCAGGTCTTAGGTGCCAGAGATGAGTGAGCAAAAGTGAGTGACACTGGCAGCAGCCTGGCCCTCCCTCCCCCTGCTACACCTCTACAGATCATTAGCCACCATGCCCCCCACCCTACCACACCCCCAATAGCTGATTCAGCAGTCTTCTGGCCAGAGCAACCAGGGGGAGGTGGGAAGTGAGCCTCAAATTTGCTCAGAGCAGGAGGCCAGGGAGTGGATGCAGGGAAGGAGCTGGTCCTGGCATGTACAAGGTACTCACTGGACAGGCTGGCTCTCTTCCCTCACCTTTGGCTTGTCTCCATAAAAATCCACAAGCTTATCTGTACAAATACATAATTTACATCAACGTCTGGACTAAACTGAAAGTGTTTTCTTCACCTCTTTAGAGAGCAGAGAACAGAGGCCGGCTGGAATCAGCCAGTGAAGCAGCTGTTAAGGGGTTGAGCTGAGACCTCCAGCGCTTCTGAACTGTCCCATGCACACAAGTGCTGGGGTCCTACTTGGAAGCCTGGGGCAGGCTGCTGGCTAAGAGGTTCATGATGCCCTGTCTACCCCAGTAGACACTCGCTGCCATGCGTGGCTAGTCCATGTTGAGATATGCTTTAAAGAACACACTATGTGTGTGGATTTCAAAGGCACTGCATGCAAAACACCTCATTAATACTAATGTTACATAATTCCTCATTAACTTTATACTGGCTAAATAACACGTTTAACATATTGGGTTAAACAAAATTAAGTTCACCTGTGTTGTTTTACTTTAAAAAAAAAAAAAAGTATTTGTTCTAGGCATGGTGGTGCACACCTTTAATTCCAGCACCCAGAAGGCAGAGGCCGGCAGAGCTCTGTGAGTTTGAGGCCAGCCTGGTCTACAGAGTGAGTTCCAGGACAGGCTCCAAAGCTATACAGAGAAACCCTGTCTCAGATAATTAATTAATTAATTAAAAATGGTGTGTGTGTGTGTGAGAGAGAACACACATGAGCAAGTGTGTGTCTGAGAGAGAGAGAGAGAGAGAGAGAGAGAGAGAGAGAGAGAGAGAGAGAGTGTGTGGCACATGCGTGCCAGGGTGAGCATGTGGAGGTCAGGAGGGTGTCTTCTCCTTCCATTCTTGTTTTAAGCCTGCACTGCGTATTCCATGCTAGCTGGGCATCAAGCTTCCAGACAATTCTGCCTCCCACCTTGCCATAGGAGTGCTGGGATTACAGGTGTGTCCATCTGCATCCATGGGCTCTGGGGATGAACCCTGGTTGTCAGACTTGCACAGGGGTGCTTTTGCTCATTGAGCCATCTCTCTGACCTCTCATTTTATTTTTTCTTAAGGTGGCATCTAGAACACCTTACATTGCATTTGTGACTCACATCGTATTTGTTAGACAGTGCTGCTTTAGAGTCTGATGATAAAATTTAGAGTCCGGTAAACTGAGTCACCTGAGATGTGAGAGTCAAGGTGCAAAGTTCAGAGAAAGCATAACCTTGTCACAGATGTCTTCCCACGGGAAGTGATGCCTAGGCTAGGCATTCTGAGGGACAAACATCAGGCTAGAATGAAAGAGGTGTGGGGGGGGAGGGCAGTCAGTGTGTGGGGTCCTGACAGTCCATGTGGAAAACTGCACTGTCTGTGGCAGGTGACAATGGCCACAAGCCCAGCCAGGGCAGGTTAGGCCATGGGGTATCAGCCATGTTTCTGGAGGGTAAGGAGCTGCTGGAGTGAGGAGGGCAACAAGCTGTGGACAGAGGCTGGGAGCAAGGCTGTGCAAGGGGTAAAGAGGCTCAAGTGCTGGTGCAGGGACTCCAGAGCCAGACAGAAAGAATGGATACAGCTGGGAGCAGATGCTCACAGCCCAGCATCACCTCCTGCTCTCAGACTCGGTGAATATTCACTGAGCCTCCACACTCTTTTGAGCTATACTTGCTGGAGCAAGAGAAAGCCCAAGAATAGACATAAACTATGCTCCTCATTTGCAAGCTGGAAACTCAAGTGCAAATGGCCCCCACTACTGCCTACCCCAAAAATCTCAGACTCCTCAGCAGCCCTACTCCAAATGTCTTAGCTTTGTCCTTCAAGGTTAGGCTAAGCTTCCCCTGATTCTGGGTGTTGAATGAATTTATGGAAAGCCAAAGCAGAGAGACCTATTATATCATCTGTTCAGATTCTCTGCCTTATAACTTAATATGTTGAAAATAATAGTAAGGGTCAGGACCTGGAGTGATGGTTCACCTGTTAAGAGCAGTACTCCACTTGCAGAAGACCTGAGTCCAGCACTCACTGGGATGGCTTACCACCACCTGTAACCCCAGCTCCAAGGGTTCTGATAGCTCCAGCCTCTGCCAGCACCTGCACACACAGATACATAATTAAAAATCAGTCATAGCCAGGCAGTGGTGGTGCATGCTTTAATCCCAGCACTCGGGAGGCAGAGACAGGTGGATCTATGAGTTTGAGGCCAGTCTAGTCTACAGAGGGAGTTCCAGGAGAGCCAGGGCTACAAGTCTTGGAGGAATGTCTTGAAAGAAAAAAAAAAAAAAAAAAAAAAAAAAAAGGAAAGAAGGAAGGAAGGAGGAAAGGAAGGAAGGAAATCAAGGGCTTGATGGCTCAGCCAGTAAATGCTCTTGTCTCCAAGTCTGATGACCAGAGTTGGAACTCCAGGACCCACATGGTAGAAGAAGTTGTCCTCTGACTCCCACACATGCTCTATGGCATGTGCATACAAACACACAAGATAGATAGATAGATAGATAGATAGATAGATAGATAGATAGTTTTTCTTCTGCCCATAGCCCCGAGCTGGTCTTGAAGGCTGAGTAGGAGTTCCCCAAGTGAACAAAAGGAATGAAAAGCCCTCCAAGAACATGGAAAGCATGGGCAAGGTATGAAATAGGGGCAGAAAAAGTCAGATGTATTTAACCAGGGTAAATGGGGACCAGAAATTAGGGATGGAGACACAGGTTGCCAAGGGCATCAGCCACCATGCCAGAGAGCCACTGGGGTTCCAGTAGGTCATGATCAGCCCTCTGTATGATTCCACTAAGCCTACAGGTGCCACTTCCTACCCAGGATCCAGACAGAAGGGACAAAAAGTATCCTCTCATGGTGCACAGTCATTGAATCCGACACTTCTTTCTTACCTTGCACACACAAGACTGGATCCAGGGCTCCAAGAGTATGCAGATGGAGGTAGAAGCCCCAGACCAGCCATTGATGAATTTCCCAGGGCAGCCCAGGCCCTTCCCAGTGGTGTGTGCCTTGTGAGCCTGGGATCTAATCATTTTGACTTTCACAGGGCCAAAGAGAGATTTGGAGGAAAGGCCCACCCAGGGATCCTCCCAGCTCACGTTCCTGCTGCCTCTTTGTGCGTGGCAGAATGCATCTTTACCTTCCATAGGTTACTAACGCCCATCCTTCGCCACCTCTTGCACGCCTGCATCCTAGACAGGTCAGTAGCCCTGGTGGTACACTCCAGTAGCTTACTTAAGCTGCAGCTGCCTCCCAACCCAGGCCCCAGCACAGGAGCCCCAAGCCGACCCCACCCCCTTCTTCCACCTGACTGCAGGTCAGGTATTTCAACTTTCAGAGTCCCCACGCCCAGTGCCCCCCCCCCCATTCCCACCCAGGCTGATGGTGGTTCCATGACACCCACAACCTGGGGACGACTGCTTTTTGTCCTGTCCCTTTCTGTCCTGCTGGAAGTGGTTGCCTAGGGTTGTGGCCCGTGGTGCAAGGCGCTGTGCTAGACTGCTCGGAGGTCCTTTGCTGGCCTGTGCGCCTCACCTGTCCAAGCACTGTAGGGGCTGATTTCTGCCTCCTGCTGTGCTTGTTTCTGTCTGTAAAAAGGTTGGTGTTGGTCTCGGTGGAGCCCCTGCTGAACTGACTTGGAAAGTCGCTAGATGCCCTGGACCCAAGTTCTTAGTGCAGAGGTCCAGACCCCTTCCCAGTTCCACCTGCCCCCACGTTCCTTTTCACCCTCCCGTGTGCCTCCACACCCTCTCCCAGATTCTTTCCAGATGTGCGTAGCGGGAGGAGCCCGAAGGCTGGGACCAGCCTCTGAACATCGAGTAGAAAAAGCGTTCCCTGTCCCCTGATCCCGCAGGGGTCGCCCACACCCCGGAGTGTGTTTTTGTGTGTGTGCCGGACCGTGCTCCTGAGCAGGGTCCACCACGCGGCAGGGCGTAAAGCGGCGACCCTCCCCGGCAGCGGCGGGGCGCACACAGCGGGAAGTCAGAGTGGGCTTCCCAGGCGCGGCCGGTGGCCGGTTGTCCCTCGGCCCACCCGTCCGCCCGTGCCCCTACCTGCTGCTGCCGCCGTGGGCGGAACAGGCTCCCGGGTGTCCGCTGCGCTCGGCGGGCGCGGGCTCCTGTCATTCAAGTCGCGCCGTGCGCTCAGCGACGCCAAGTTTTGTTGTGTGTTCTCTCTCCCCGCCTCTCCCCCGGCCCCCGCCCCGCGTGCATCTGCCGGACGCCGGCCTCTCCCGACACAGGCGCAGGGTCCCGCCGGGCGCGGGAAGGGAGGGAGGGAAAGAAGGAGGGCCTGCGCCCCAGGCGCCGGGCTTGGCGAGGCCCCACTTCCCGGGAGCCCGCGCCGCCGCCCCGGTCCCTCTCCGCCCCGGCGGGCCGCCGCACCACGTCCCCCCCCCCCCATGGGCCAGGCGGGGTGTCTCCCGCGCACCACGCCCGATCCGACTGCCAGCCTGCGCCGTGGGGCCGCTCCCCTGTTAGGGCCCCCGCACCTGAGGAGAGCCCAGAAGGCTCCTTCAACCACTGCCCCTGCGCTCAGCTTCTTCCTCATGCCTGAGAGAATTTTGAACCATTCCAGACTCAAGTGCCTTCCTGTTCCCTCTCCCACCCTGGGGTCCTGGGCTGTGGCTAACGTGATGGCGCCAGCCAAGACCCTGCTGGACCCCTTCCCGGCAAAATTCCGTGTTCTCCACCCCACCGTCTGCCCTCACTACATTGGCCTTGGGCCCACAACTTGGTGAACCTTGATGGATGGTAAATTGGGCCGGAAATCTTCATGCACACAGGTCCTAGTCACAGAAAGGCAAGGGGGTGAGCAGGGAGCACTTGCAGCACAATATTGCGCCCAGGAGCTGAAAATGGTTCCAAGTAAAGGCGCACTAAGTACTAGCAGCTGAAGCAACAGTGCTTGGCGCCAGGGGCTTCATGGTGGAAAGGCGGTGGAATGGGTTTGGGTGCTACTTGGAACCTCTACTGAGAAACAAACCTTTCATACGTGCTCTGGCCTTTGGGCAGAACTCACCTACCTGGCTTTCTGAGACGAATTAGAATAATAAGTCAAATGTGGAACTTGGCCACCTAAATTGCCAAGACCCTGAAAGGGTCAGAATAAGTGGCTCTGGACCTTTCATCCTGTGCTGCCAGGCATCGTTTATGTCTCCATGCGGCTGTCTCTAATCCTTACAGCCCTGCAAAGGAGAGACCGTTTCTCCACCGGACTGTGCAACTAACATTACCATTCAGAGCTGGGGGTTCTGGGCCATCTACCCATCCCAACAGCTCTCTCTGATGCGAACAGGCAGGTAGATGAGTAGGTAGGGATAAAGTTTGGATTTGAACCCCCAATGGGTGGTTTCCATTACCCACTACCGAAGAACTTAACAAGAATGAAAAAGGGAATATTTTGCCTTCTTTGGCTTCAAATTCCAATCCTCTCTGAGCTCAAACTTGAAAGTTGGTATGATTCACAGGACTGGACAGGGCCCAAAGGAAACGCATCTCGTGTTTTCTCAACAGGGCCTAGATTCAAGTGGAGCTAACAGAACTGGATTCTATTGGCCCAATCACCCATGAACGAAGATCCTAGAACAGGGAGAATCGGCACATACCGAGTGCTAACAAAGTACCAAGCATTTTCCTTAAATATGCTGTCCTCTGAGCCCTGTAGGGAAGGGGTCATAAGCGAAGGGCTAGGGTGTTTTAGGGGCCAGGCAGGTGGACATTCACTTCTCCTACCATCAAAACTAGCTCTGCCAAGCCAGTACCCACACTTAGAGTCTGTGTGGTGCTGTAGGTACAAGGTACATTGTCTCAGGTAAAAAAAAAAAAAAAAAAAAAGAGAGGATCCTGCTGCAGAAACAAGTCCTCTGGCTTTCAGAACACAAGGTACCATTCAGTCTACCAGAAGCTGCTTCTGCTTCTCCGTGTCAGCATGTTTGGTGTGAGAGTACCACAGTGCTTGGTGTCAAGTATAGGTTTTGGATGAAGACCTGGGCCCAAAGGAAAAGTAATGGCTATACATTAACACACACACACACACAAAAAAAAAAAGTCTACAGAGAAATTAAACAGAGAAACCCAGAACTCTACACAGCACCAGACTCACGGCAAGTACTCAATAAACAACATGGGTTTCACAAGACTGTTACCCACTCCTACTAAACTCAATAGAAACGCAAAGACCAGAGCCACAGAGCATGTCAGTAATCCCAGCACTTAGGTGGCTGGGGTAGGAAGACAGCAAACTTGAGACAGCTGGGCTACGCTGAAATTCTGTCTCAAAAAGTGGTGGGGTGGAGGGTTGGCGAGATCACACAGTAGGTAAAGCACTAGCCACACAAGCCTGATGACCCAAGTTCAGATCCCCAGAACCGTAGGAAAGCCACTGTAGCATGTGTGTTTGTAATTCCAGCGCACTCCAACCAGGAGATGGGAAGTGGAGACAGGAGAATCTCCAAAAGCTGTCTCAACAAGGTACAAGGAGGTTGTCCTGACCCCTCACATTCACATTTTAGCCCCCCATGCCTGTATTAACACACTAATAACATACACAAAGATTTAAAAGATGACAAGTGTCTTGAGAAATAAACTCCAGAACTGCCACCTCAAGTGCCTTCTAATTAGAAACAGAAGGAAGCGACCTAAAAGATGGGGAAGACAAGGCACACAGTGCTAGGGCTGAAGGACAGAAGGCTCTAGAGGAGGTCTGGTGATGAAAAGGAGAGAAAAGGAGCAGCAAGCTATTCACTATACTTCATCAATCAGAGAATTCCTTCTACCTTGAGCTCAAGGCTCATGACCTTTCCTTATCCAGTAGCAGCATCCTGAATACTGAGCTACAGCAGGGGTTGGATCAAATCAAAGTGTTCTTTGGGTCTATGGAGTCTCTGAAAGTCTTTATTGTTGTTTGCATTAGTACTGGGATTTAACTTAGGGCCTTGTGCACACTAGGCAAGTGATCTACTGATAGGCTCTACCCTCTGCCCTCTTTGTTTTTAACTTGGATACAGGGTCTGGTCAAGTTGCCCATGTCTTGAACTTTTGATCTGATTGCCTACAACTTCTGGAGTAAGTAGGCTTATA